TGAAGTGTTTTAATGGAAAGTGAAATAATGTATAATGCACAATATTTTTAGGTTGAATTAAACGTTTTTTGTTTCTTTTTAAATTTGTTTTATCGGAAGTGTGAATAATAATAATATTCCAGTGAATTAAAATTGAAGTAACTTATATATTACTAAAAAAATTCTTTTGCAATGCTTTTATAAACTATAAAAATCAAATTATTATTTTTTTTAATGTATAAAATATGAAAGAAGCTAACATCGAAATCGACAAATGGGAGATACTGTTAACGCTGGCAAACATCAGTGTATGAGGGAGTCAGCATTACGACAGGCCTTAAGGAACAAGTGGTCAGAGCTCTCCTACTAGGAATGTAGTCGGGAGTACCCTTAGCATCATCGGACCTTCGAGACAGTGTCAAGACTTGAATCAATAATAAGCTCTTTAGTCATTTTTGAATCATCTGGTCCTCTAAATCGTTTTTGTCTAAGGAATGATTAACTGTTGACGATGCATCAACCTGCTTTCTCCATATGACACTTTCACGGCTGGAAATAATTGATATCTTTCTTATCTGAGAGAACAGTGAATAACGATCATTAGTACGAGAAACATAATTTAAGACAGGGGTTCTCAACCTGTGGGTCGCGACCCATTTAGGGTCGAATAAGCCTTTTCCAGGGGTCGCATAAGACCATCGTAAAATAAATGAACTCTATAGTTATGAAGTAGCATCGAAAATAATTTTGTGGTTTGCGGAGTCACTTAAACATGAGGAACTGTAAGTAGGAAGGCATTAGGAAGGTTGAGAACCACTGTTTTAAGATGATGTACCCTTTCCCTTGGTGTATATATGGCACACAGTCAGAGATAGTAGTTTTCTAACCTTAATTAAATACTGGAACAACTGTCACAGCCACGTCTACACATAGTGAAATCTCAAGCCGAATTTCGCACACTAAACACTTTATCCACACACTAAGTAAGCCTTGGAACAATAATAGCATCATCCACAGCACAGTATATTTATCTCAAAATATCTTATAATATTATATCATTTATATATGTATCAAAGATAACATTTGTGGCTTTGTTACGCATACGTTTCAACATGGAACATGATCCCACCAATGTACATGATTATAATAGGAAACACGATCCAACAATAAACTGGAACCTATCCGGGAAAGTGATCCCACAGGTCACGGGACCAAACCGAGAAACCAGCTCCCACCGCAAAACACGTTCTCACCGGAAGTTGGGATCCCACTGGGAAATGGGACCTCTACGGGAAACGGGATCGCACCGAGTTTGGGGGTTTTCAACGGGATTGGGATACTGACGGAATCGGGTTCAAACCGGAATTGTCATCCCACCGGGATCGGGACCTTTAAGAAATCAAAATCTCACTTGAAATCTGGATCCCAGTGGGATCGGGAACTGACAAGGATCGGGATCCAAACGGGACCACTATCAAAACGGGATACGGGATGCCATCAGGAAATGGGATTTTGATTGAGATTTCACTGATGAATGAAATATTTATAATATTTTTTATATGTGTTTAGATAGAATTCATTTTTTAAATTATGACATGAACTATATAAATTTAATTTCAAATAGAGATATTGCATGGGTGGATCAATCGCTACAAGTGAGGTAGCTAAATTTTAAAAATCCTAGATTCCACATGGACAGCTGTATGTGGCCTGCTCATGCATCGAAAAACCTTCTAATTTATTCGTGTACGCATAGTACGGAAAAACAAAATATATTTTCTATGGCATAAGTACTATAAAAACATGATTAAAACACAAACACTTTCATTTTTTGAGTGGCATTGCAAAGCACGGCGGGTTCTCGCTAGTTGAATATACAATTAGACTTAAAACTATATATTAAAAAAAGCGAATTTATTGCCCCAAGCCCCAAATGGAATATTGTAAAATGGCTGTACTAATTTAGAAGCCTTTGCGGGCGAGCGCAAAACAATTATTGAAAGTTATATCGTAATGGGATAAATTGTATAGTAATGCATACTGAAATTATATTTATATTGCAAATATAAGAAAAAATACGAATTCAAAGCCTTTGGTCACAAACGGAATTTCGTAGAATGGTTGCATTAATTCAGAAACCTACTTATTATGTTACACACAACCTGAAATGTCGTTATTTGTATTTGATTAAAATTCCATCCACCCATGCATTGCATTAGATCTGTTTGAAATTACATTTATATAGCTCATTTTAGACCAAAAAGAAATTTAGGACCTTCGGCCTCAAACCAAATATTGCAAAATGGTTGTACTAATTCAGAAATCCATTGAACTATGTCACACATAAACTGAAATGTCGCTCTTTGTGTTTGATTAAAATTCAATACCCCCGACCATTGGCTCTGTTTGAAATTGTATTTATCTAGCTCATATAATAAAAAATGAATTTAGGGCCCCTGGCCCCAAACGGAATATTTTAGAATAGTTGTATGACTTCAGAAACCTACTTATTATGTCACACAAACTGAAATGTCGCTATTTGTATTTGATTAAAATTCCACCCACCCATGCATTAGCTCTGTTTGAAATTACATTTAAATAGCTCCCATTAGACAAAAATCGAATTTAGGGGCCCCTGACCCCAAAACGGAAAATTGTATCATTGGTTGCAAAAATACATAAACCTTTGCGGCCATGCACACAAAAACTCACAAACATTTTATCGCAATCGGATGAATGGTATATCAGCGCATACGGAAATTATATTTACATCGCTCATTTAAAAAAAAAATTTAGAGCCCCGGCCCAAAGTGAAATATTTTAAAAAGAGTTTAGTAGCTTATAAAAGTGCGCTGGTGAGCGGACAATAGCTCACCAAATTTTTATCGCAATAGGATCCATTCTATATGAGCGCATACGGGACATACATACATAAATATACACATTCATTTAGATATATAGACTTCATTTACTTCTTCTTCTTTAAGGCCCCACGATCAATATATTGATACTTTTGGCTCCTATGGTGTTTTACAAATAGTGGTTTAACAGTACAAAGTCAAGCACAGAAATTAGGGAAAAAACAATACCATAAAGGTAGCCATTCACTGGACATTTGTGAAACCATGTACAGAGCTGTAGATAATTTGAGGCCTAGATAAACAAGAGAGCTATGTCATAACGTGTGAGATTCGTCTGTGTCTGTGTGTGTCCAGCCACTCCAGGAAATGAATCGATTTGTAGATGATAAGATAACCCTATTTTTAAATAGATAGATTATTGGCAACGTATCAAGTAACTTATAATGCAACACAAGTTGATCTTTAGTTGCTGGAAAAAAAAAACAACTGATGTCGTCGCAAACCCCGGATGGGGGGGGGGGGAATGAGGTGGAATGGCATATAAAGAGATTTTTAGGGAATAATGTAAAGGTTTTGGATTTTAATTTACGTTTTTAATGGTTATAGATATTTTAAGATGATAAGATAACCCTATTTTTAAATAGATAGATTATTTGCAACGTATCAAGTAAATTATAATGCAACACAAGTTGATCTTTAGTTGGTGGAAAAAAAAAACAACTGATGTCGTCGCAAACCCCGGATGGGGGGGGGGGTATGAGGTGGAATGGCATATAGAGAGATTTTTAGGGAATAATGTAAAGGTTTTGGATTTTAATTTACGTTTTTAATGGTTATAGATATTTTAAATAATGTTTATTTACATCTAACTTTGACTAACAAGGTCAATGCCTAACCTCTACAGTCCTCTTTCGGACGGAAAAAAGAGAGAAGTCTGGATATTATAAATATATTATTTGGATACAAATCTAGACGGGTCAAGGCAACCAAAAATGCGGAAGTGGAAAAATAAAATAACTCACGTTTGCTAAAATTAGGAAGAAAACGTTATAAATGAATAGAAAAAATGTCCTAAATATATCCCTAAACCTAACCTGAACCCTAAAACTAGCCCTAGATCTAACTTGAACCTTAAATCGATCCCTAAACCTAGCATGAACCCTAAAACCAGCCCTTTAGCCACAAATAAAAACACGTGGAATATTCATACTGTGGCCAAAAAAAAAAAAACTTTGAATAAAGAATTGTCACAAATAAAATAAAGAAACAATGAAAACCAAACTGACAGTTTCATGAAATAAACTTTTACACAATTTATTTCAGGTTCCAACGACAATAGTATCCATAAAATTAATAAATCACAAGTCCCCCCATAAGTACCCCAAATATATCAAATATGGCGGAACAAATAAAATATGCTGATAAGCCGACCAATGATAAGTTTAAAATTATAATCAATCAACCATACAAAAATTTAATTAAACCGTGCCATCGTGATAGTAAAGAAAATGTAACTCTATTAACAAACAAAAAATGAGGGGAGTGAATCCATAACCAAAAAAAAAAACAAGTGACGTCCAGGGCCCATCTCTCAAAATTAACTAATCCATGTTATCTTCTCCTATCATACTCTAGTTTTTTGTTGAGATGCCATCACACGAGTGTTGGAGAAACTCATAGTCATGTCGAAAAATAAAAAAATAAAAATTAAGATCGTATTAGATAAGTGTTTATCATTATATTTGATTGCCAGTGTGCGGTGAAGACAGGGTGGTGTGCTTAGCGTGCAGCAATTGGCCAGATAATAGATTTTGAGCTTTGACCTCATATTTTCAGGTAATCGAGAATTTCCAGAAAACACCTCGTAGGAAAATATTGTTTTGGACATTTAAAAATTTAGTTTCAAACGTGAATTTAGTAAATGAACCTTACAAAAAAAAATGTGTAATTGTTTTAAAAAAATAATTAAGCAGATGGATAAATATTTTCATTAACATGAACGAAAAAATATAAACACTTTTTCTAGAAGTATTTTAAAGCTTCAGAAATTTTCATTTGGCTTGTATGGCCAATTTGGCCTCTAGGTCGTATTAAAATCTCACGTGACACTTTTTAACATTAACCCCTTGAAGTTTGATCTTATTTTGCGTGTTGCTTTTGGTTGGAAGTTCTTTCTCGGTAAGGGCTGCATCTGTTACTTTGCACAATGTGGATTACGTTTCCTATTTCTAATTACGACTTGTGATTTGTTGCTCCTAAATAAGTCAATACTTGTGAAATTATCGTTTCTAAATAGGTAAATAACTGATGATTTTTGTAAATATTGGCCGAATAATTTACGTACTTAAAAAAAACGGCCATTCCCTGCACCCTTAAAAAAAAAGAAAAGAAAATTATTATATTCGCATAGTCGTTCTTTGCGTAATGAAATTGAATAAATATTTTTCCTATCTTTTAATGCGTTTAATTTAGTCTTTAAATGAAAAGAAAACCAAAAGTGTTTTTTATAATATTTTGTTTACATTATTTCCGCGTTTTGAACCGCATCCAGGAACTTAGGCAGTTATTTAATTATATGTGGCCCAGGCAGCTGGATTCTTCCTTTTCGCGGATTTTTAGGTTCATTTGCACTTAGTTTCACATGTTCATTTACACTCTTGTTTCATTTGGGCCTAAATTTATTAATGAGATCCTCTTCCTGGCAGTCTCAATATTGTGCAACTAAACATTTTGTACTCGTCAATGAAGTCGCTAAGATTCAACGTCGACCTAAGCGAGCTGGGTCTTGGTTTAGGTCTCTTACCTCTGCGTCAGTTGGTTCTAAGGGATCGTTATACCAGTGGGATCGGAATCCCAATGATATCCCATTTGGAAGAGGGATCTTAATCAAGAGGGTGTTGTAATCCTAATGGGATCCTAATGGCATCCCAATCGGGATCAGGATCCCACTGGGATCTAGATCTCAAATGGGATATGGCATTCCATTTGAATACGGGATCCCAGTTGGGATCCGTATCCTAATGTGGTTGAAATCCAAAGGGGATCCCCTTTGGAAAAGGAATCTGAATCGGGATCGGGATGCCACCGCAATTGGGTTCCAGAGGGATTCGGGATATTGACGGTATAGGGATACCAATGGGATCAGGAGGCAGTCCGAGCGCCGGGTATTTCGGCTAGTTACAAATAAAATACACTATAAAATAATTTCTTTAATTAATACTTACAAGCAATGTTCCCCTTAAGCTGCGCGGTTGCGCGGCCGCGCAGCAATCTCACAGACGCCGCGCAGCAGTTTTGAGTACCGCGCAGCTAATTTCCACTTAAGTGTGTGTGTGTGATTGTAAGCTGTAAAATTTTGAGCGCACAAAAAATTGATGCTGTAAAAATTTTTGCACACATCTTAATGATTTTGCACACGAACCAACAAGCCTTAGAGGGAACATTGCTTATAAGATACAATATTTCGGTACAAATGCCTTTTTAAGAGATAAAGTATATTTTATTCACTACTAAGTAATTATATTTTAAATCAAATACTTTATAAGAATATATATATATATATATATATATATAATATATATATATATATGTATAATATATATTTATATATATATATAAATATATATTATATATATATATATGTATATATATATATATATATATATATATATATATATATACTAGCCAATATACCCGGCCTTGCCCGGAATTGCATTAGGACCCCAAACCAAGCTCAGCCACTTTCCCCCCGTTCCCAATGGGAACACGTAACCGATGGGTTTCAGTTTACTGTTGGATTTCATTCCCCATTAGGATCCTGTTCCTCTATGGGATAATGCTTAGTGAGATTTTGTTCGAATAAACTTTTAGATCCCATTATATATCCACAAAGAACAATAAAGAACCTTCTGGAACATTCTAGATTAAATTTAATATTTTCCATGAAACTTGTAAAAAAATTAATTTTCTACGTAATTATTTCTCTAATGTGAAATATTATACAACTAAATAGTACTTATATAACTATAGTACATTTAAATAGAAATAGGGGCCTCGGTGGGAGCCCATTTAATAAAGTACTGTTTTAGTTATGTCTTAGATTGGGGGGGGGGGCATAAAAATCATTGAGATAAATTATAGAGTTAAATTTAAAATTAGCTCATTAAAATCGGATAAAAATGCCATAGATATTTCTTTTTAAATTATCGATCTTTCAAGAAAATTCTAGAACGGCCCTGCATTGATTGGATATTCTTAGTTATAAATCCACCGATATTTCATTACCGGACAATGAAGTTTATTGCTACAACGCTATGGTTATATCGATCAATTCACATAGAACCTATAGTGTTGTTCCAGCCTATTGGTATTTATATAGATTATATCAGGAAAAATAAAATGGGGCCCCCGGCCTCAGAAGAATGGATATTGTGAGTTCAGTATTGTTCGGTATTTGAATATGGATAATCAAGTATATGTGTACTAAGTTTGGTCAAGATCCATCCATTCATGCAGGAGTATTAAGCTTATTGATATTTATATAGCAAATATAGGAAAAAAATAAACTGGGCCCCCGGCCCCAGAAGGATGGATTTTTTTAGGTCAGCATCCTTCGGTTTTTAGTATGGATAATTAAGTGTATGTGTACTAAGTTTGGTCAAGATCCGTCTATGGATGTAGGAGTATTTGTTGTTAATTTTATTTATATAGCTCAAACTAGGAAAAAACGAATTTGGGCCCCACAGCCCCAAATGGAATGTTATAAAAACTTTATAACCCTTATAGAGTTCCTTCTGGATCATAATGGATATATGTGTCAAGTTTGGTCAAGATCCATCAATACACGTAAAACCCTTTGGGGAACAAACAAAGCTACAAACGTTCACTTTTATATATATATTTTATTTATATTTTTTATTTTATGTTTGTTCCAGATCATAAAATGTCGGACTCAAAATTGAGCTACAATTTTATGTTACTTGGGAAAACAGGTTCAGGGAAAAGTTCAACGGGAAATACTTTGCTGGGCCGTCCATGTTTTAAAACGTCTTATTCTTTTAAGTCGTGCACAAAATATGTAGACAAGGAGTCAAATGAGTTTAGTCAATTTATCTTTACTGTTGTAGACACACCTGGTATACATGACACAAAGAAGGACATGGGAATAAATCTAAAAGCTTTCTGTGATGGAATAAGTCTCATTCCAGAAGGACTCAACAGCCTGTTATTGGTCCTCAAACTGGGCGACAGAGGCACAAAAGAGCTGAATGAAACAATAGTTGCCTTAAAAAATACATTAGGGGATTCCTATTTCGAGAAGTTCTGCATCATCGCCTTAACGCACGGTGATCTGTGCCCAGATTTAAATAACAACAATATTCAACAATGGTGCAAAAACAAGGAGAACATTGAACAAGGCTCCGAACTTCAGACTCTAATGTCCAAATGTGGCTATAGAGTTGTTTTGTTTTACAATAAAGACGAAGATAAACGTGAGGAGAGTGTCAGGAAACTTTTGAGTTATATCAAGCCACAGGCTCCTCGTTACACAAACAAACATTTTCTAAAACATGCCGATATTAGGAACACCTATTACACCAGTTTGGGTTTGACCAAACCAAGAGCTAAGATTCAGAAACAACTCAGCGGTATTGGCGCGGAAGTTGACAACTTGGTAAAATACAATAAAGGAGATGTCGACAAACTTTTGTTAAAATTAGATGATTTGCTCAAAACAATAGAGGAAGCATCTAAAGGCACAGACGCAATGGATGACTTTAAGTTCAGAGTCAATGAGTTGAAAGCTAAAATAAAAAACCACCCTAAAGATGGAAAAGGGGGAACAGTAACACAAGAGAAAATACATCTTGGAAGGAAAGGTTGTGGGATTGTAATTACTTTAGTGGGAGTCGCAGGAGGTTGTTGTGCTAGTGTACCACTAGCCAATACTAGAGTAGATGGTGGTGCTTTAGCATTTGGTATTACATTAGGTATTGCATGTGGTATTGGATTAGGTTTGGTCAAATTATGTTCAAAGTTATTTTCACTGTACGAAGCGAGACAAAGGACCCGTAATCATCCAACAATGTAAATGAGTATAAAGAGAAGGTATTTAAGAAATACCAAGAGGCGGGGAAATCGGACAAAATGGCAGAGGGTGGCAGAGTTGTAATCTATTTTTCATTGAAATATCTTTCGAGAGGTAATTAAATAAGTTCTAAAAAAATATTAAATTTTTCTTTAATGTCATCAACAACAACAAAAGATTAATTATAGTGTCGACAAATTATTTGTCATTTTTTAGAAACCCTCATCAACCCCCCCCCTCCTCCCCCGCCCCCGCGGAAGCCAAAAAAAATTAAAACACGAGAAAATATTTCTATAAGGGAGAGAGAAAAAAAAAAAGAGTAAAATTACAAGTTTTATATCGAACGCTCTTCGTTAGTGTGAATTGCACCGGCACACATAATAGTCACAGACGCTATCACTTAAACTAATTTCTTGTGTTTGGTTTGTGTTAGCATTTTGTCTAAAAGGAGACTTGAAGATGTGTGTAAGTGTGCAATATGTTTTAATTCGATAGGTTATATAATTAGGTTGAATCGCTGTTACTCTGCTGTCTTATGGATGTTTTTGTATTTAAAGTTCAACTCAAACAATTATTGGTATATATAATTAATCCTTGAAAAGAAAGCAAAATAAATAATAGCCATTTCAGGATGTATTATTATTTTATTTTACATATAAAACGGTAGTACTTTTTTTAGCATTGGCGGTATTAAAAATTGCATACAGTGGAGCGACTACACTGGCCTACAATGGTGTATCTCTGTATTCCGATTTTATTATTGTAGAAACAAGTTAGACTGATCAAGTTACACGCCCAGCTACCTAAACATCTTTGTATACACTGTGAGACTACCTAAAAGTATATATATTTTTAAGTTTATATGTTTGGAGTTGATAATTTTTTTTTTAAATCATGCCTAATTCATTATCACTGAAGTTATCAGTTTCATTGTTATCGATTTTATCTGTTCGATTAATTTGTGTTTCATTGTTATTGAAATTAGTATTTGATCGTTTGATTACTTTCTGCGAATCAGTGTTAACAACGTTACTTATTTTGTAGTCTATTTTTTCCCCTTTTTTTTGTTTTTGGTCTTCACGAATTTTATTTTAGCCTTTTGATATGTAAAGAGATGTAACTTAATTTTATTATAATTTTACTGGAATGATTGTTTCAAAGCTCCAAATAAGATATAAATAAATGAGCAAAAATTAGACCGCACCATCCCTCACCCCAGCCCCACAACTTTTTTTTTTCTTAAAAAAAAAAAAAAAAAATGAGACTGTGAAAACTTTTTATTAATTTTTCAATTAATTTTTTCTTCACAATTGTCAACCCTTTGTAATTTTTCTCATTCAATATTTAGTACAATTTTATTTTTTTATTTACTGGAATTATTGTTTCAAAGCTCCAAAAAAAATATAAATAAATGAGCAAAAATTAGACCGCCCCATCCCCCCCCCCACCCCCACAACTTTTTTTTTTTTTAAAAAAAAAAAAAAAAAAATGAGACTGTGAAAACTTTTTATTAATTTTTCAATTAATTTTTTCTTCACAATTGTCAACCCTTTGTAATTTTTCTCATTCAATATTTAGTACAATTTTATTTTTTTAAAGTAATAATACAATGTGTAATTTATTCCAATATTAACAATGTATTTCTTTTTTTCTCTGAAATAAATATATTGTTTGTTTGCTTACTTGTAAACATTGCTATGTTTTAAAGAAATTGGATAACATCAACTGTATAAAGAATATTCCACAATACAATCAGCTGCTTTTATGACTGACTACTGAGATTTATTTGTTAACATATGTTTCGAAGACGAAAAGAAACATTTAATCAGCAAATTTTGCACTAACAAAAAAGCATTTTTTTTAAAAAAAATAAAAATAATATACTTTTTTGTTGAAAGTGTTTATAAGGACGACCCATTTTGCTGGTATAGGTTATCATTTATTTAAATTGAGGCACGCAAGTTGAAATAATTAATTTGGCTGAACCCATGTACATTGCAATAGACTCAGAAATGTTTAGTCATAGTTTGAAAACGAGCTCTTTAGATCGTATTATGCTAATCTATAATCTGTGTTAAAATTTTAAATTATAATTTCCTTCTGACACTTACATAATAGATTACAAATCTATATACTATCTACATTTGAATTTTTTTATTTTATAGCCAGAGATAAAATTTTGATAATGTCAAATTTGTTCTTTAAAATGTTTAAAACATATTTTAAGTGTATGCATATTTGTAGTGTCTATTCTGTTGTGAAACATAGTAAGGTTTAAAAACCTAACACTATTCATAAAATAACGCATATAAAGAATATTTTTTTAACTTAAATGAGTTTATACACAGGCAGTTGCCAACTCAATGATTAAAAGAAAAGTGATCCACAATAACTATACAAAATTATACTTAAAATTTTCTTTTTTACGTTTTTTTTTTTTTAATTTTCTGGGGAGTCTTCCCCCAGAAGTACTGCAATACTGAGGTCTTCACTCTCAATTTTGTCCTTATCTGACTCTTAACCCTTTCGGGTCTCATGGCCTTGCGGCTCTCTTTCACTCTGTAGCAGTGATCGTCTCGACCCCGGCCGGACACAAAGCGAGATATCACGGGTTATCTAGAAAATTTTGAAAACCAAACATACTACACTTTGATCTTAGCCAAATAGCCGAGATGCAATCTTTCAATCATCATTAGTGCCACCACATCCTTCCACTTGGGCCGATTCATGACTTTTGGTTTCTATGCGCGGATCCCCAGGTAAAGTGAGGCCCTCTCTGTACTGTCACTACATCCCCGGCTTGGTCGACCTGTGAGCCATCTTAGCCATGGGTGCCATGTGTGGATCCCCTACACAACTCTTTAATCCAGGATCCATTCAAGTTGTCCCATCCTGCGAACTATGCCGCGACTATGGAGAGCATTTCGAAGAATATATTGATATATTTCTTGGTTCGTTCGAACTTTGTATTGATTAATATCTAGCCATGTTCTCTCTATTTTTTTAAAGATCACCCCCTAGAGTATTTAGCATGTTCTCGGCTTTCTTGGGGACAGGCCAAGTCTCGTTTGCGCACATTACCAATGTCTAAAGTAGTGTTGTGTATGGCATTCTTTGTTTTATTTTAAAAAATTACTGCTTTCTAGTATTTTTGTAGGCTGTCAAATAATTTTTATTTCGAAATGATCATTGATAGTAGGTTCCTTGTATCTTAAAGCAAACACTTAAAGGTGTGGTTGTTTATTTTTATGTTGTCACCTGTATGTATAATGCTTGACATTAACATATTTCTGTTCATCGCTTCATGTACCCCAAGACCAGCTTGGACTGAGGCATCTGCAAATTAACTGAATACTCTATAATTAAATTACTGCTTTTTCTACCTAGTAGAGACGCTAAAAAAATTGAGTTTTAATAAATGTACTAACTTTTCTATTAATAACTGAGGGCCGTGATTTAATAACAAAGGTTAGAATTAAAATGTCATGTTTTAAATTCAACAGATAATGTTTATGTTGCATATTACATATTGGGATAAATATGTGGATATCAATTCAGGGAGTTCGCCCCGGGTTGGCATTATGTCAAATTTCGCCATGGTTAAATTTAGAATTTTATCACCTGCGGTATATACTTGAAGAATAAAGTCATGTACCGGAGCTGGTTGAAAGAGGAGTTGAAGGAAGGTTCGTCAGATTCCTCTGTGTACTGAATTTGCCTTTGATGTTAGATCTGATGAAAGAAGAACTGAGCGATTTTCGTTAGTATATACGTTTTGCCTTGTGAAAAAAACAAAAAAACAATGAAAAATGTGTGGCACTCGTCTCGTAGATGATCTTTAACGTTGGCAACCAGGTCATGCCATATACTATATAATTGCTCGTTGTAGAATGTAAATACGTCTGTATTAGTTGATGTCGACTGAAAGCTTCGTTCCGCTCCAGAGAGGCAAGTTTCCCGGCGTGGTCAGGAAAATAAGGTACGGCGCGGGCAGGCTGATGAATCCCTACGATTGTGTTTCTGACGATCAAATTCGTTTGAACGTTTATACGTTGTAATCACATTAAAACAGAACACAAGTCCAGTGCAAATAAAAACTTTAACTTTAATTCAAGTTATTTTATAAACTGGTCATAAAATAATTCAAAGCAACTCGTTAGAAGATAATGATCATAAAATTATCACATACAATATACACATACCGTTAGTTCGTTAAGCTCATTGATGACCGGTATATGGTAATGTCCAGCATTAGACATACATGTAATAACATAATACGAGGCAATCATGCTTTTGAGTGGATGCTATAAATACGGAGAAGCTACTATTAATGAGCTTCCATAACTAACAGTATCTGCAAGTTTTATGCGATAATTGTGTTATCTCATTAAAACAGAACAAAGGTCTTATGCCAGGAAATACGTTAAATTTAATGCAAATTAATCAATCATCTAGTCATACAATAATACAAAGCAACTCGCTAGGGTATAACGATCACGAAATTATCACATAAAAATAAGACACTAACTGCAAAACCTAAAGCACGTATTTAAATACAGCCGAGAAGGTACGTCACAGATCATTAAAACCACGTCACGAATATTTCAAAAGATCATGGCGCTCCCAAAAAAAAGCGTTCATCACCAAAACTAACACCCAAGACGAAAAGTGAAAAAAAAAAACAGAAAAAAAACAAGAAAAAAAAAAAAAAAAAAAAAAGCGTTCAAAACCAAAACAAACACCCAAAACGAAAAGTGAAAAAAAAAACAGAAAAAAAACAAAAAAAAAAAAAAAAAAAAACAACACTATGGTGTGCAACAATAACATTTCAATAATCCATGCTCGACACAGGCTAATATAGTGTAACTAAAATTCAGTTTGTTTTGTGATCTTTAAGGGTTTCCCCTAGTCTGTGAGTTATATTTCGTATTGCTTCAACCTGAACTCGGTCGTACCCCAATATTACACTTGCAAAATCTTAGTCTCTTCATCGTCAGTTGACTTCGAGGTAAACCAACCAAGCCATTGTCAATACAGAAATTATATTGCACAAGAGATTCAACCACTGTACCTTGAAACAGCAATGGATTTAATAAGCATTTCTTTTATTCAATATTTTTATTTAACTATAAAGCTTATTCCATCACCCACAAATATTTTAAGGAAATGACAATATATAAAATAATTACAAAAATATGTTAATTGAAAGTTTACCGACTGAAACTTTTTTTGCAACAAGATATCAGTAAAGCAATTTTTTTTTTAAAGTGTTTTTTCAACATGTTCAACAAATAGTTCCATCAAATTATTATTGATGAACACAAGGTTCTAGTTAAAAATGTTTAAAAATGTTACAAATAGCTCTCTGCGTTGATCATTTTGTGAGCACGTAAGCTTAAAAAAAATATTTAAAAACATTCACGTTTAGCTAACACGAGTCCTCATCTGACAAACTAAGACTTTAGTATTCAGGAGTAAACAACATTTATTGTCAGTAGAATATGATAGCTTGTAATTTATAAGTCCTTAAAGTTGGGTGACTAGGGGTGAGTGGGATTGGATCCGTAATAATTTCATTTTTTTTTTAGAAGAATTATTGAAATGGTATTATATTGGTGAAACTATAATAGTTGATGGATTTGTAATATTATAACGGATGACATAGTTGTGATATTCCAATAGTTAGCATTGTATTTGTGATATTATGATATTTAAAAATATATGTGTGATATAATTAGTTAACAGTTGAAATATGATATTATAATGTGTAACATTATATTTGTTACACAATTTAAGTTAATATACTGTGATATCATAATAGTTAACAGTATATTTTGGGATATTGTAATAGTTATTATTATATTTTGTGAAATTACAATCGCAAGCGTTATATTTGTGATACCATAATAGATAACATTATATTTAGGAAATTATATTACAAAAATTTAAATGAACAAAAAATTAAGTAAACCGGTACCATGTCTTACCATTACAATCAGGCTACAGAAGTTGCTGAGTTTCAAAATTACAATAAAATTATAAGAAGAACAAATTATGAGCTTATGGGATTCTTATAATCCACACATGAAAAAGTATCGTGCATGTAGCAAATTTTATTGAATGTTCAATTTCGCTTTTTGAATGTAAACACAATCCAAAGCAAAAGGCACCGCTACAAAACAGATTGCCTTAAAGATCAAAAAAAAAAAAAAAATTAGTTTGAAATAAATTTGTTTTAAAAAGCAGATTTAGGCTTTGCAACTATTCGAGAACGTACATGGAGACACAAAAGATCAATGGAAACAAATTAGAGGGATTTGGACCAACACACGCGAAGAAGTATTAAGGAAGAAAGATTATCAACATAAAAAGTGGTTCTCGAAGGAAACAATGTACATAATTAAAGAGATGATCACAAAAAAAATCATTTATTTAGAGAGTAATACATGAGCAGCAAAAGTGAATGCTTGTGATAAGTGCACAAAGGAAAATAAAGAGGTTAAAAAGAATATCAGAAGAGATAAAATGAGATTTATTGATGACATTTCATGGAAGGCTGCATCAAAAGGTAACCTAAACAGCCTGTACAATGCAACAAATAGGCAGGAAAGTTTCAGCAAGAAAGCGGCCAATTAAATACCAATTGGGGGGAAAGCTAACCACCAAAGAAGAACAAAAGAAAAGATGGGTAGACTATTTTAAAGAACTACTAAACAGGCCAGCTACAACAAGAACCAACTAATATTCTCTCCGCAGAAAAATGCAATCTACCCCCCCCCCCCCAAAAAAAAATGGAATCAAAAATAAGAAAAACCGTTGAAAAAACAAAAGACGGTGGCCCCAAAACCACCAAAGAAGAACAAAAGAAAAGATGGGTAGACTATTTTAAAGAACTACCAAACAGGCCAGCTACAACAAGAACCAACTAATATTCTCTCCGCAGAAAAATGCAATCTACCCCCCCCCCCCAAAAAAAAATGGAATTAAAAATAAGAAAAACCTTTGAAAAACATAAAGGCTGTGGTCCCAGATGAAATACCTGCAAAAGAATTAAATATTGACCTGGAACTGTCATCAAGCATACTTCACCAGCTACTTGTGACTATCTGGGACCAAGAAGTGATACCCAAGGAGCGAAGAGATGGATACTGGGTCAATCTTCTAAAGAAAGGAGACCTCAAAGAGTGTGTAAACTATACAGGACTCATGCTGAATTCTATACCGGGAAAAATATTGAATATAAGTAGTCTGCAGATAATTAAAAAAAATTGTATACTTCTAACTAAGAGATTAACCGGCTGGTTTAAGAGAAAAACTGATTAAATTGCAGCCCAGCGCATAATCATTGACCAGTAATAGTTGGAGTGGAATGCTTCAGCGTACCTAAATTTTGTCGACTTTGAAAAGCATTTGACAGCTTGAACAGAGAAACCATCTGAAAACAACTAAGACATTATGGTATTCCTCAAATGATAACTAACGTAATTAAGAACACATGGAAGAAAATGAGTTGTTTAAAATATTCAACTCAAAAGTCAAGGCACTTCTTCTGTATGGCTGTTAAACTTGGAGAACAACAAAAACGGACATTAAACAACGGCAAGTTTTTATAAACAGATACTTTTGAATGATCCCCAAAACAGGATGGTTTTACACTATTTGAAACATTGTCAATTGGAGGCGCACATCAAGTGATTCAGTGGAAATGGAAATACAAAAGAGAAAATAGAGATAAATAGGGCACATAGTAAGGACACCAAAAAGCCAACATGACAAGGAAGACCCTGAACTGGAATTCTTAAGTTATAGGAAAAGGGGAAAACCAAGAACCACATGGCAGACCCTGTCAGTCTCCAGAAGCAGAGCCCCTCTAAACCACTCTTACGAACTGCATGGCCATATTCTTGAGCCAGTTTCCTCCGTAAAGTATCTGGGTGTTACCCTTCAAAGAGAGGTTCACTGGGACGAGCACATTAACAGTGTGTGCAACCGGGCAAACAAGACCCTGGGGTTCCTAAGACGAAATCTGAAGATGGGCAAATCAAGCGTGAAAGAAAAAGCCTATAAAGCCTTTGTCAAGCCTATTTTAGAGTACGCTTCTACAGTCTGGGACCCATTTACCCAGAAAAGCATCGACAGGTTGGAGGCGGTCCAGCGACGGGCAGCACGCCTTGTCATGAACCGCTACAGAAACACCTCAAGTGTTGGCAGCATGCTAAAAACACTGGGCTGGTCAACATTGCGGAAGAACGACGACAACTATCCAGGCTCACCATGTTGTACAAGATCAAAAATGGGCTGGTGAATTGCTCCGGAATCAAACAGAAACTCGTTCATCCTCCCCCTAGACAGCGACGAGGCCACGACAGACTGTTCCGGCTGGTAAAAACAAGAAAAAAAAGTACAGGAGCTCCTCATTCCTGCCGAAGACAATAGGGGACTGGAGCAAGCTTCCAGAGGCAACAGTTGAGGTGCCTACACTCGACACATTTGTGTCTACTGCCTCATGTATTGCAACTCCCAGTTCGTAACACCACTGCTGAGTAGCCCTTGCAACCAGTGAAGTATCCCTTTAAAACCCATGCACAGTAACATCTTGAACCCCTCTGAAACATAGGAGCCAGAATGATGAATTCATTGATTGTGGGCCCTCAAAATAAAGAAGAAGAAGAAGCATATGGGATTAGAGGCAGAGGTAAAGAGAATGAAGAAAAGCTGGGTTGAACAAGAAAAGATAGCCCAGGAAAGGGGCAGATGGAAAAGTATTGTAGATGACCTATGTTCCTTTGGATGTGAGAAAGGCTAAAAATGAAAAAGAAGACGAAATCTCGCGTTAGTGATTCAAAATAACTTTGTACCCCACCTTATTAACCGGTTAAAGTTATTTTCTTTTCCCCATCATTTCCTTTATCTTGTTTATTTCGCTTAAAGCTGTTGCATAATCTCTTTCTTCTTCCTTGTACAAAGTGACTGCTTCGGAATAGTCATTGTCAAATTTCTTGGCTGCCACAAAAGATGCCACCCCCGCAATGGCTAAAGGGGGAGCAACAAAAGCACCCACCATACATAAACATCCGGTTGCAGTGTACAACCTTCTCAAAAGCCCATATGCTATTATGCCAGTCGTTGATGGTGGATTTTTAATAGTTTCCACCAAAGAATTTAATTTCTTTAACATGTTTTGACGTTGTTGTCTTTCTGAAGGCAGGTTTTCTAAGGTCTTAATGATTTGTTTGACCTCATTTTTCAAGCCATCCATTAGAGAGGTTCCCTTAGACTCTTCTTCTATTGTATTTAACAATTCCTGAGCCCTCTCTTTAACTTTGAGATCCGTGTTTGCATTAGATTCTTCCATCGCCTTTTCCAAGTATTCTTTCAGAAAACTGAGCTTCTCTTGTATTGGAGCTATAAGCTGAGGAAGCTTCAAGCTTATGACGTATGTGTCTCTCTCTGACGCAAATTTAGCAAATACTTCTGAATTGTAACGATGGCTACGGTGCTTCATGGTTTGAACAAGTTCTAAAAGTCTGTTAACGCTTTCTTCGCGTCTAGCTTTGCTCTTGTTATAAAACAACACAGTTCTGTATTCACAATCCACCAGCAGAGACAGAAGTTCTGGAGGTCCTTCAATATCTTTGCAGTAATCGTCAAATGTTTTAGTTTGATCTTCTTCATCTTCCATGTCAAAATTTTCGCCATGTGTCATTACTATAATACAATATTCTTTTGCGAAAACTTCACCGAATGATGCCCTGAGTGCACTAATTACTTCAATGACCTCTTTGGTGCATCTTTCTCCGTATCTCATTACCAAAAGAAAAGCGTCAAAGCCATCGGGAAGCAGGGCCATTGAATTGCTAACATCACCCACCGTAACATCCATGTCAATATTTGTGTCCTGGAGACCTGGAGTGTCTACAACTTTAATGATGTAATGTCCAAACTCACCGCACTCCAATTGTGGTTCTTTTGTGCATGAAAGCATTTGGTTTGAGGGTTTAAAAGCATGTTTACGGTTCACCAATGTGTTTCCTGTGGCACTTTTCCCGACTCCTGTTTTTCCAAGTAACATGAGATTGAATGTAGGTTTGCTTCTAGACATTTTCATCTGAAATTTAAAAAAAAAACATATTGAGCAATTAAAACAGGGATCAAAATACTATGCTCTTGAAATATAGAAAAGTGAGTCAATAATATTTCTATTATTTGGGATTGTTTCGTGATATTCTTAAAAGCTTATAGGGACATATTCACGAGTTTTTAAAAGCTTTATTAAAGTGATAATCTAGTATGCTTATTTGCAAAATTTGAAGTTTTTAAAAAGATTTTCTTTCTAAGTTTCCTTAAAATTGGGGACAGTTTCGGGTAATAAACAAATTTATACATTTTAATTTAAATAACCAATCTTTGCACATTCTCCTAACTAACTCCAATGAGATAACTTTAAAAAAAAATTACTACATATTTAATGTAAAGAAAACTAAATGGAAACTTTCCTTATGGAACCCAAACAAGCTTGCGGATTCAGTTTTAATTTTAGTTGTAAATTACCATAAGTTTTCTGTTGGTGAACTTTTTCTTTTTTTGGAAGTAATAACTTAGATATGTAATCCTTGGTTTTTGACCGGGCGAAGTATGATTTTTTATTGAAACGGCCGGGGGGGGGGGGGCAAATTCAAAATTATACAGGAGTTATATCTCTGGACCTCTATAGGATTTCTTTTTAAATTTGATTAATATTTAGCGATTTTTACTGTGTGATAATTTTTAATGTAAGCTAATAAAATATTAGCATCCCCACCAATGTGTTACTCTTGGGCGCTTGGTATATTAGCTAGTAGTACGTTTTTGTTCAATCCACACACACAAAGGAATATTTTTGAAATTTTGTCCACTTGTGTCTACATAGCCAAGTTTACAAATTTAATAAAATTATTGCAACATGAAACATTTATTTGAAAACTAAATGTATATATAAGTTATCATGATATTAAGACCGTATGACTTTATTCATACAGTTTAATCAATTTACTTAAAACTAAGCCCCCCCCCCCAAAAAAAAAATCCCCATTTATATGCTAATAAAATTATATGATCCATAAAATTTGACTGACACGTTTTTGAGATAAATGATTATGTGCCGTTAGTATGCAAAACCTATGATAAGATTCAGATTAAACAAAGCTTCTAGTACACATAGTAACATAGTTGACTACATAATTTTTAAAAATCGTTACATTTGTCTTTGGAGAGAGAGAAGTAAATTGGTTGATGCCGAAAATATATCAAAATTGTAACAGACATTTTAAGGAAAGAAAAAATGTATACTCATCCACCGACCTACAGCTTCCAGCCTACGTGTGAAAAATATTACGGGAAAAGACAGGTAATCGCATTTATAACGGACACAAGAAAGAAGATTAGCAGATTTAATGCTGTTTATAGTGCGACAAAGCGGATTTTGTTTTCCCGATAATGATTCCCTAGAAACTTAGCCGTTACCTGGAAACTGGGAGAAATGAAGACAAAAAATACTGCTGTAGAATATCAGAAAATTTCAATCTTACGTAACATCATTAGTCAGATGTGGGGATTCCCCATGTTTACACATTCAAGCACATCTGTTGCGCAGAGTTTTTGTTAGAATCGAATTGGGCATTAAAATATTTTTACACTAGAGTAAATAACCCGATGTTATCGGGATAATAATGGTAGGTCCTTTGCGATAATTTATAACTGCTATTGCAAAAATTCATCCCAAGTCATAACTTTAAAAATGTAATGATATTTACGTTTCTAACATCATTAAGTTTTGAGAACTGTTTATCTGCTATATATGATACGCGTACCCTACATACTTTCACGCTCCTAAACTCATTTTCCCCCTCTAAATATGACCTTAAATTACCCAGTCTAAATTATCACTAATTATATCACTTTTGTCATTAAAAAGGTTAATTGAGGGACAATTACTACGCTAGAGAAATACTTTAGATTTACCCCTATTCATCCGTTTGAATTACAACTTTTTTTCCTCAAAGGAAATAAATAATAATCTTAAATTTACAACAAAAACTCTACGTATGACATGAATATTTTTTTTTACAGAAATTCGATATATATTGATATCTTCATAAAAATTCTTAACACATTTTTGCCTTTTTAAAAAAAATTATACATTATCAGAAAATCGTAAAACAAAGAATTCCTTTATCCAAGAAGAATTTCGGAACTGTTTTTCACGCCTAAATCAGATCTGACTGTCTTTTTTTTAAAAAGTGTTAATCTCATTAAAATACACACTTATTTACTTTCATTTTGCAAAGTAACAACAAAAATATCTTTTCATTTTTAAAAAAAAAAAAGAAAATATTAACCCATCTTCATTTGTTAAAATTTAATTTTCAAGAGTGTAAAATGATTGGGTCTTGATAGTAATGGATATACTTATATAAATGTACCCAAGATTTGTTAACGCAACAGATTTTCTTAATTTGTAAACATATGAAGACCTCAAGGGAAAAAACGGCAGAGTCCATTTTTAATTTTTTTGAGTTATCACCCCTGACTTATAGCCAGTTAAAAATAGAAGGTGCTGAATTAAGTTTAAAGGAGAAAAAATGGCCAATTCCATAAGAAAAATGGAAACGAAAAATCCGTTTACAATGGAAAAAGAAGCATAGTCCAATGTTTACAATGGAAAAAGGGGCTAAGTCACTAATATCACGTGACATTTGAAGTCACGTGATTTAAAGGTCCAATGAGAGATAGCTATAGTGTAAACAAAATTTAAAGATGGCGACCGATTCGCTCAGCTGACCGAGAAACCGACGAAAAAGTTAACAGACAGACCTGAATTTTTTTTATTTCCTACCACAAGAAAACAAAACAAATTAACATAAGCACGATAAATGGACTTAAAACATTAACACAAATAAAATTTGTATTTTAAATCACATTTTACCCTTGCTTTGTTATGTTCAGTTAATTAATGTGTGTATCCGTCTCGTCTCTTTCGCTGTCGCTCTAACACTAGTCAAGTCTAGTCTATCACTTTTTGTTGCATGTCTGTGTCTCTCCTTGTCAGTCTATCTCAGTTAGTTTGTATATCTCTCTCCCTTTCGCTCTAACTCTGTGTCTGACTCCCCCTGAACTCTTTATCTTCGAGTGTCTGTCTTGCTATCTCGGTCTGTTACTCTTTACTGACTTTACTCTTAAACTTAAGTTCATACAGTTACAGCTACTGCTAGAGGAAAAAAACTAATATTGGGCCAAAATTGTAAGAAGCACATCAGAAACTTAGAAAGTATGATTTTATATCTGATTTTCAGTTTAAATTCTAAATAATATATTTTTTTAATGATAGTTATAGGCATGATCGATATTCTTATATTAATAGTTTAAACAAAAATAATTTGCCTAAGGCAGGGGTCATTCGTAAATTACATCACGTTAAAAATAAACTTTTTAGACACCCCCTCCCCTTGTCACGAAATGTCACAAATTCTCCCCCTCCCCCCTTGTCACATCACCTAAAAAAACTCAAAACATACATAAAATTTTCATAACTAAACTAAGATATTATTTTATTCTTCAACATTTTCCCATAATGCAGCAGTTCTAAACCTGTGGGTGGCGACCCCTTTATGGGTCGAATGACTCCTTTAGAGGTGTCACATAAGACAATCGGCAAATGCATATCCTCTACAGTTATGAAGTACTAACAAAAACAATTTTATGGTTGAGGGTCGCCACAACATGAGGAACTGCATTCAAGGGTCGCGGCATTAAGAAGGTTGAGAACCACTGCTATAATGAAAAGATGCAGTATTACTAGAAAACCGAGTTTCATGGTACCATACTATAATACCTGAGGCAAAGTTGACCTCAAATTAATGTTTTAAAAATCAATTAAATTGTGATTTTTTTTTACGAATTAGAAACTTTTAGAGATGAAAAAAAGTGACGTCACAATTTTTGACCCCCCCCCCCTTTCCCCCTCCCAAAATGTGTCGCATATTCTCAACACACCCCCTCTAAGCGTGACGTAATTTGCCAGTGACCCCTTAATGTGAAAATTTACTTATAAAATAGTTTTAAATAGATATTTAGCAATGATCAAACCTTGATAAATTACTACAAGGGAAAAAACGGCAGAGTCCATTTTGACCCCACTCTCTACTATAAAGAAATAAATCATGTTACATTCAAGTTTGAATTAATTTATCTACTTAATAACTCAGGGAAATGGACACTCTTGTGAAAAGCATTTTAAAAATTACATTTTGTTTACACACTTTTAATGTGCATGGTTTTGAACTTTAAAAATCGAATATCTCAAAACAACAAAAATGTGACTCTGCTGTTTTTTCCCTTGTGGTCTTCATATGTTTATTTGTAAAAAGAGAATGTAACATCTTATTAATTTCACAAATGTAATACCATAGGAGTTAACTCTTTTGTCATCCACGTAAGAATTTACACATATTTTTTCCTAACTCCGACATTTATGTACCCAAGAAGGTTAATTATTTATCAAATTCATTCCTTTATTTTGAGACGTATCTTGCGCTGCCTTGAGCAAAATGAACATACACATATTTGTAAAAAGAGAATGTAACATCTTTTTTTTTTTACAAATTTAATACCATAGGATTTAAATATATTGTCATCCACGTAAAAATGTATACATCCTATTTCCTTCCTCCGCTATGAATGTACCCAAGAAGGTTAATTATTTATCAAATTCATTCCTTTATTTTGAGGCGTATCTTCTGCTGCCTGGGGCAAAGTGACCAACCAATCCCCACCCAGATTTAAATAAATTTAGAAAATCTTCAGCCTTATTGTAGTCCGCTCCATACCCAAACAAACATATTTTGCACTTCATATGATTCGTTCTTATTTGTATGAGGTATAAGTGTATTAGTGAATGCTATTTGGCTATGGAGTTGCGCTGAACTGAAAGACATAAACGGCATTTTCTTATTATAATTATAATTTAAGGTTAGTTTTTATTACGTTTAAATAAAAAAGTAAAAACTTTTTAAATGTAAAATATGCAAAGCAAAAATGTGTGTTTGCTTTATTAACAATTTAAAAAAGCAATCTATTGTATGTATTAATGTTATTTTTAAGAAGGGAAATTACATTATCAGTTTTTTCACGCGCGGTTATTAAATTTAAAGAAACCTAAAAGTTTTGGCGAAATAGGCTATTCGCGATATGACGTCATTTGCGTGATTATTTAGAAAAAAAATAATTTGAGTTTTATTTCGCAATGTTAACAACGCACTAAAAGACGCACTAAAACGATTGATGCTTGGGTTTTCCCGATAAATGTGATTACGGTGTAATTCTTTGATCATGATTTTTTATGAATTTTTATTTTTTTATAACGTTCAAACACATATAAAATCCTTAAAATAGTTCCTTAGTTGATACATTTAATTTGTAATTTATAATAGTATAACTTTAACTTTTAATAAAATAAAAGCAGCTTTAAAATATTTTTGCACATTTAAATTTATTGGATTTCCGCAAAATTATAGAAAATAACTATGATTGATTTTAGGAATCAGAACGTACTTAAAAAGTATATCCCCTTTGGCGTTATGTCACTCTAGCTCATTCTTGATCAATAATTAACCTTCTTGGGTACATTCATAGCGGAGGAAGGAAATAGGATGTATACATTTTTACATGGATGACAATATATTTAAATCCTACGGTATTACATTTGTGAAAAAAGAGATAATAAATTCTCTTTTTACAAATAAACATATGTTTACCAATTAAGAAAATCAATGCCATGGAAAAAAAACGTTGGGACATTTATTAATGTATACCAATAAAACCAATATCAAAATCCAATCATTTTACACACTTGAAAATTAAAGTTTGACAAATTAAGATGGGTTAATATATTATTTTTTTTAATGAAAATATATTTTTGTTGTTACTTTGCAAAATGTAAAGAGATGTGTATTTTTATGAGATTTACAATTTAATTTTTTTAAAGACAAACAAGTCTGATATAGGCGTGAAAAATAGTTGCGAGATTCTTCTTAGATAAAAGAATTCTTTGTTTTACGATTTTCTGATAATGTATAATTTTTAAAAAACGAAAAATTGTGTTTAAAATTTTGATGAAAATATCAATACATATCGAATTCCTGTAATACAAAATATGCAGAGTCAATTTTCAACATGCTGTATTTCCATTTTTGGTGTTTTGAGATAATCGACTTTTTCTGCTACACAATGATGGCTCGAATTTTCGGAAAAGTAAATGTTAACTTAGGTATATATTCAAAATATAAGTTAGATTATGATGAAAATTTAAATTTGCTGTATATCAATTTTGATAGCATAACCTTATTCCCAGTAGCAATTATTTCAATTTGTTTATTATTTTACAAACCACTTACATAACAAAGTAAAGTTAAATTGTATCATATACATTATATAATTGTGTATGATTAATGTTTTTTATTGATATATTTTAATAGAACAGTATTATAAATGCTGGGAAGTCGCTTATAATAGTGTAATGTTTAGAGTGCTATAAGTTTGCATGATTTGTTTTTATAAATCTGAATTCTAAACAAAAGTAAACAAGATAATGGTCAATTCAAAAATCATTTTATTTGAATTTAGAAAAACGACAAAATAGAAAATAATCAAGTGTCTGATTCAGAGTGTGCATCATCTTCAATAGCAGTTTGGTTTTGTTCCAAGAAAAGGTGATGATTCTTATTTACATTCAAATCAGAGGGCAAATATTTCTGTCCTTGAAAACCTTTTCTTCTGTAATGGCTGGATCTGCACGTAAAATATTGAATGTGTAATAAATAACACAGCAAACTCTGTAAAGCAAGTTTTTATTTTCATTACCTGAACACTTTTAATGTGTAATAACCATAACAATAATAATTATAATGTAAAATGAAATTTAGTATTTTTAAAATAAAGTTACTGGTAACGTATCTAGCAGAACCATTTATCGTGATTACACGTAACCGAGAGGATCTTTCCTCCATGACACGTGACCGAGGGGATCTTTTCTCCGCTTGAATGAAGAAATGATTTCTCTTTTTCTCTTGTTGAGCTTTTTTTCTTTTTTATAGTACAAGCAACTCTTTCATCTAAGCCGTTGTTATGCACGATGTTCGTTGTTGTTTCGCGTCGTGATGTTTAGTGCGCATGCGCAGAATGCCGCAGAATAACTTGTGAATGACACGGCTTGGTCCGAAAATATATACAGCATTTTGATAATAAAAAAAAAATCACACCTCGTTTTGAAAAGAAAATAATTTTTAGACATAGAATAATATAGGATTAAAATGTGTTATGTAGCTAAACTTTAACATGTCCTAAAGGAGCCTGGGTTGCTCTACAAGAATATACAGTTATCTCATTTTTTTCGAAATTGTCGGACACCGCGTTTTGAAAATCGACTCTTCATATATTTATATCATATATAGAGTTTTTGTTGTAAATTTAAGATTAGGTTTTTTTTAAAAAAAATTAGAGAAAAAGTTGTAATTCAAGGGCGCGAAAAGGGGTACATTTCTCTAGCTTAGTAATTTTCCCTTAATTATCTTCTTTAGTGACAAAAGTAATATAATTAGTGATAATTTAGACTGGGTAATTAAAGGTTATGTTTAGAGTGGGAAAAGTAATTTAGGGGCGTGCAAGGAAGCAGGGTATGCGTATCATATATAGCAGATAAACACTTCCCAAAACATAATGATGTTAGAAACGTAAATATGATTACATTTTAAAAGTTATGACTTGGGATGAGTTTTTGCAATAGCAGTTATAAATTATCGCAAAGGACCAACCATTATTATCCCGATAACATCGGGTCATTTATTCTAGTATATATATAATATATATCAAAATCAATAGCAAATACAGGAAATAATATTCGCATTGTGATTAAGTTTTCTGCTATGGCTTTCAAATACACTTGCACAAGTCAACACACACCATTTTAACGCATTATTTTTAAACTTAATAATATATATTATGTTAAAATATTAACAACAAAAACTCTATTTAATCAACTGCTTTATTTTCTGTATTTAGTAGCCTAATTTATAGTCAATATTATTTAAAATTAAAAAAAAAAAAAAGTGTAAACCCCATTTATTAGTAGACAACCGTACAGTGACGTAAGTTGAACTAGGTAAAACGTCAGATAAATGACCGTCAGTGTAAGGCAGAACTGTGAAGGCCAATTGAAAGGTGCCAACTCAACTTTTGTGTGTATATGTGTGTGTGTGTTTGGTGGGGGAAATGATTTATCCCCCGGGCTCTTTTATCGCGTGTTATTTTACATATAAATTGATTATTTTTGTGTTTGTTTGTGAATCAAAAATCAAAAGCTTTATATATATATATATATATATATATATATATATATATATATATATGTGTGTGTGTTATGAAATTATATGTTTTTTTTATATATTTATTTACAAAACAATATTTTTTATTTTATATATATATTTTTTTTTTTTGTGTTTGTTTGTGAATCAAAAAAAAAAAGATTTATATATATATATATATATATATATATATATATATATATATATATATATATGTGTGTGTGTTATGAAATGCTATGTTTCCTTTATAAATTTATTTACAAAACAATATTTTTTCTTAAATTCAACTCCAATTCCATACATAAACATTCACAAAAAAATCACATTTCTGTATCATTCCAATTTCTTCTCATTAAAATTTTGTTCAAATATATATATTCATTGTAATTAAAATGTGTCAATCATCACCATCATTCTGCAAGTCTCCATTCTTCTAATTTACCGTGAATTTTATGTTTCGGATTCCGTCTACTATCTGGACCTCTTAAATTTATCAAACTCTCTATTGTAATGCATCGCCTTATGTGTATTGAAGCAATGGGTTAAACATAATACTAACGTACGAGCTAATACAATGTTAAAAATTACAAGTGTGTGAAAAATGATTGCATTAAGCATAGCAATCCACAGATTAGTAGAACAAAATAAATTTTTCGTACAAGTTTGTCGAAGAGATCATTAATTTATATTATAATTCATTTTTTTATTTGGTGTTAGATGGTGTGAGGTTATAAAAAATGTTGACATAATTAAATCGGGTAGGGGTCATTTAAAGTTTGACAGTTTTTTTTTTTACAAGGGATGGGGGGGGGGGAGAAAACTGCGTTAAAAATATTGACGTAATTAATGGATGATCCCATGTGAGGTGATTTAAAAAAAAAAAAAAACAGGAAATGCCAATGGCACCATACAGATTACTAATACAGGTAAAACAATATGAATATTTTAAAAAAAAATTAAAGAAACAATCTACTGAAATTATTTGTTAAAACAACCTGTTCATGTTTGAGTGGTCAGTAAAATATGTATGTTCAGACGGCTTTCCGATGATAGCCTCAACACTAAGAAGAAAGAGAGAGAGAGAGAAAGAGGGAGAGAGAGAGAGAGAGAAAGAGAGAGAGAAAAAGAGGAGAGAGAGAGAGAGAGAAAGAGAGAGAGAGAAAGAGAGAGAGAGAGAGAGAGGGAGAGCGAAAACAGACCGACGAAAAAGAATATAATAATACACAATCTTTGCTGCTTTTGTTATTATATCATACAACATTGAAAATATTTAAATAAATAAGATAGCAAATTTTTAAAAAAATGTATAGCGTTCTCTTGGATACAGACCTTTTGCAATGTGCTTATATCAATTAAAGCTCCGGGACACTTTTCAAAATCTTTATACGTCATACCGTTTTATTGGAAAATTTAATTCGGGACTTACGTAAACGGATTTTCCCATAAATATTTCCATTTCCTTAGAAGACTATGAGTCATGATGTTTTTCATTTGCATTAAAGCAGAATTTCCCTATCTCTTTGTTTACGTAACTGCACTTTAAATATTAAAAGGGGTGGGGCTGTTGCTATTTTTTTTTTAAAAAGAAGGCTGAACCTAATGTTTCGTTTTCAATTTTGGGAGAACCGAAAACTTATCTGAGTAAATAATAATAACTTTTATAATATAAACTTGTTATAACACAACAGGTTTTTTTTCCATTTTTTATAAGTCTTATGTTAGTCTGAAGAGAGCAGTCAATTTTCTTTAGTTTTCAATCGTCGGGGTTTATTTAGTAGTAATCGCAAAAATTAAAAATCTATTCTTTTCCTGTGTTCCTTATACACTAACTGTACTTTTTGTTGAATAATGTTATACAACAATTAATATCTAGTTTAAAATTAATTAAATTATTATCAAATGAAAAACTCTTACGCCTTCTGCGAAGTAACAAAATACCAAATATTAATTAGGCATTGCTTTACACTCCACATTGTTTGTTGTGTAGTGACGTCACTTTTTTATGGTGCCTAGTTGTGCTCCATGTTGTTATCACACACAGGTAGCTTTCTCTTGAAATGTGGCAGCTGGTTCGATCTGTTTGTGGTTTGTGTTCAGGATCGGTGCTGGTGTTGGACACTTCACTATTGTTATTTAATCAACAATCCATTTGAACCCAAGATTGTCTGGGAAAAACTGAGGGATCAGTTTCAAAAGAAGACATGGGCTAACAGACTGGCGCTGAGAAGGAGATTACTTAAAATTAGAATGAATGATGGGGACTCTGTGCATGAGCACATTAAAACTCTAACATAGATTTTCAACGAGCTTTCAGTGGTAGGAGATGCCGTTGATGAAGAAGACATGGTGGTTCATTTACTTGCTAGCCTTCCAAACTCAGAGAAATCTGTTGGTAACTCCTCTTGAGGCTTGCTCGGAAGTTCCAAAGACGGAACTTGTTACCGACAGTGCTTCACAAAGAGAGAAAGATTTCACAACGAAGGAAAGAAGTACCAAGAAGAGCACTTGTGTCAAAAGAGAAAACAAAGAAAGGACCCCAATGTTATCATTGTAAGAGAATCGGACACTTTAAAGATATTGCCCTGAGCTAAAAAGAATCAAGTAAACATATTTACAGACAGCATAAGGCACATCGCACTGAGACTAAGACTAAGAGAGACTCAAGTGATGAAAGTGTGGGACTGTTAATGAGGCATCGCCAGGCTTTAACTAAAGTCATTGTGCCACGACTTGGATGGTTTATTCAGGAGCAACACGTCATTTGTGTTGTAGGAAATCTGATTTATCCAATTGTCATAATTGGGAGAGCCTCTAAATATAGGACTCGTAGATGGACGGAATCTGACAGCACTTGCCTGTGGTATTGTCACACTAAAAATTAAGTTGCCTGGAAATAAAAAAAAAACAAGCATGTACTATTGTGGAAGCAGCACGTTGCATACTGGATGAAGCATAGCTACCATGAAAATTCTAGGCAGAAGCAGTGTCAAAAGCTGAATATCTGCAGAATCGAAGTCCTATTGAATCTCTTCAAGTTACTACATCATTTGAGGTGTTAACTGGTAAGAAATCCAGTGTCGATGACCTTAAAGTGTTTGGATGTGTTGCGTATGCATATATTCCTAAAGATGAAACACAAACGTTTGATTAAAAAACACAGAAATACATTTTTCTAGGGTACGGAATCGATGTCAAGGGTTATCGCCTCTACAATTTGAAACTAGTAGTCCGATCTAAAGCAGAGACGTTCTGCTTTAATGAAAACAAGTTCAGTCTTGAGAAGGAGACTGAAGTGTCTCAGGAACCAAATCCTATATTGCTGGAATTCATTGAAAATAAGGTCGATGAATAAGGGATTCATTTTAATGATCATGATCAGAATTTGTGGATGAATCAGATGCGGAGCTAGATGCCAGACGACCAGCGTGAGTTAAACGCCCACCACAGATTGAGCACATTCATTGCATGCTACTGCTGCAAAATACAGTTTACGGTGGCATCAGATGGATGTAACGACAGTCTTTTTTTAAATGGAGTGTCAGAGGAAGAGGTATTCATGAAATAACCAGAATTGTTTTTTTTTGAAGAAAGAAAAGAAAACATCATATGTAAAATAAAAAAAAAATGTCTCTACGGACTAAAACAGTCTAGTCGATAACTTTGTAATACTTAACGCAGAGACTTACAAGTTTAAAGTGGTCAACCCTTTATTCCAGGTTGGTAGATGAAAATTTTCCTGTTGGTTATCTCCGGCTGAATCATTTGCCTTAATGGTTAGAAGTCAGCCATTTCGGAGTTAACACCATTACCTTTAATAAACTTTTTACTCGTCCAACTTATTCCGAGAATGTAGTGATTTTTGGTATCGTAAATTTGCTTTAGAGAAGGGTCCATAAAAGTGTCAAATCCGTGTGCCATTGGCTAGTCTGTATACTTTCGATTACACGGTGTTCTTCGTTGTCACTATAGCATGATAGAGAGCTATGTGTTCAATTCTAAACGAGATCTCTCAACGATAGGTTTCCTTCCTATATGGTTGACTTTGTACCGCACTTCCAGCCTTTTGTGACAAAGCGTGATTCTCAAATAAACGTTATTATTATTATTATTATTATTATTATTATTGTTATACACGTAAGAGTTTTAAAGAGCGTCAATATCGTTAGCGACTACAGTAATTTACTTTAAGGTTGTTGTTTTTTAAAAAAATTCTATTCGTAGCTTTACTTTTTTGGGAGCTCCCTTCGTTGGACACGCCCATGGTTGAAATGTCACGAGATCTAACGCTCACTCTTTAACACATGTTTCTATGTGGGTCAGGGATAGAGAGGGATAATGGTATTAAAACAGAAAAAAAAAATGTAATAGGAGATTAATTGAATAACACTGACTGAGAATAAATGATATATTAAAAAAAGGTACAAGTTAAAAGCTAGGTGTAGTAAATGTAGGACACAAAATATATTGTATGGTGGGGACTTTTAAAATTTCACTGCTCTCCTGTATCTAACAAGGAAACACATATTGTTAAAGTAGTTAATTTTTTTTCCCTCTCAAAAGTGAAATGACGATAAATTTGTGGACCAGAAATAAAACTGATTTACATTTTCGAGAGCCTGCGCAGCATTAGTTCAAAGGCAAAACTGACAAATCTGAGACCTGTATCAGTCATCCGTTCATTCGTTACTCGACTTCGGTCACGAGACGACGTGTTTCGCCTGAGCTGGTACGTATTTATTTTCAATATATATATATATATATATATAATATATATATATATACACATTATATACATATATATCTATTTCGCAAACACCATCTGGGATGATTGGCTACCTTATTTTCCAGTTAATGAATAATGGCTGTGTTGCTTATGGTGAAATGGCTACAAAGACTTTGACATTGTGTGCTTGTAATTAGTTTTTGTAGTGTTGACTTTGTACCGCGCTTCGAGCCTTTGGGGATGAAACGTGTTTTTGAAATGAACTTTATTATTATATATATATATATATATATAAATATGAATTACATAACTTTTTTAATAACTGAGATTTCTCGATATTGAGCGGATTTTTTATCAATTCATACTCTTTTAATATAACTAAAGGAACAATACAATACACAGACATATCTATACAGAATTGTATATGACATTAATTTTGTTATACGTATCTGGTTTCTTTTATAAGCTACTTATAAGTTAACCGTAGTCAGTCGCCTCTAACGATCACATATACATTAAAACAGCTAGATCAGGGTGAATTCTTTCTCTTTTTTCATGGCTGAATTATACGCAAGAGAAATAATTAATATGCCTTGCGTTTGAATTGTTTTAATTGTAAATGTTGTCTTGGTAAAAAATAGGTATATGAATATCATTATGTGTCCCGTGAAATGAAAAAATAATAGTTATTAATTTGGACGATAAAGAATATTATCTTATCAATTAAATGTAACACATTTGACATATCTATTCGTAATGGGAAAGATAAGGCAACTTAAGGTCCAGGCAAAAGCATTAAAAGCAGTCATTATCCCAAGCTAATTATACCCTTAACCATAGATATAAACGAGTCATAATCTGCTATTATTTAAAAATCGTGTAATTTATCATCTAATGTTATATCGTCCATAGATACATTTCGAACAATTTTATTAAATGATGTTAGCATATCTGCCGTTGTACACGATAATAAATGGGAATTCGTTAGACCCTGGGGGCGTCGTTCGATTTCCGATTTTCCTACTTCCTAATAGTCATGTTGTAAATTGTAACCTTATCGAACTGGGGTCAGAGACAGAAAACTAATTCTGAACTACCAAAAGGTTTAAAGAGACACTGATTGTATATGTATATCTCTGCAATATATATATATTGCTTCTGATGCGTCCTCTTTAAAACCTCCAAATGTTTGACATTATTAAGTGAATGAGTGAAAATGAAGGCTGTCGCGCAGCGAGCTTCACTTGTAACTTCTGAACTCCGGTATATGAGTTAATTTTTTCTTTAGAAGGGAATTCTTTTTTTATAACACTGTTTTTTTTTCAAATCCTTGATTTAAGGCTGAGCGCCACACAGAACTGGGTCATGGGCCGTCCTTTCACTTAGGGCCTGTTTGAGCCTGGCAGTCTTTCCCGTAGCTTGATACAGGAAGGTTATTGCTATTTTCGTTGTAATGCGACTCTTTTGCCTTACGTCTTTGTTATAAAATGAACAACCGTATCTTCTCTGTCGCGTGTTGTTGTTGTTTTTATTTTTTTTTTTTTTTTGTGCAACGTCATCTCTATTCCGAGATCAGGCGACTGCCTCTTCCTATGATGGTGTCATTTCTTGACAAAAGCGGTTGACGAGGACAGTGCACGCTCACTACGACTTAGGGTGGTAAATTTAGTTGCATATTATACAAAAGGAGAAGTTAACTCTTATTCTTTTTGTAACCCATCAGGTATTTCTCAAAATTCCCAAACCCGGTGTAAAAAAAGCTAAACCTGGTTATGCCATAGGATATAGAAATTTAGGTTGCGTCCTTCGCCTTCATCAGACGATCGATTAGCTTATGGACAGTGTCAGCTGCATTTCTCGCAGGAGAAACTTGCACTTTCATAAAGCCATAAAATATATCTCCATCTTGAAATCAAAGTTTGTCTTGAACTCATTTCTCAAGCTTATTATATTTTGTTTTATTTTAGGTCAAAGTCAATGAATAATTAAAGTTATTTACATATTTATCTTCTTTTAGAATAGTGAAAGATAAAAACACTCACACATTTGAACTGTCTGCCCACATCTATAAAGGTAAGTAAAAATTCAAAGATATAAACCTTAAGCAGTGGTTTTATAAATTTGTATTCTCTGGGCCAATTGTTCAGTTATTTTTTTCCGGGAATTTATTGAGACTGGCAGAGGCTGCGCCTTCATTGGTATTTGTCACGGGGCGTCAAGATGGCAACATAAGAACCTCTGAGAGCAGTTTCAAATGGACAATCCATTTCACATTCATCACTTTCACAAAAAGCATCGCATGGATGCGTGGGTAAATTAAAAACGAACCGAAACCTTCCATTTAATAAATGTTTGAAAGCGCACCTTTCAGAATAAAGGCTTAATAAAGAAGCCTAAACCAAAATAACAACAACATTTTTTTAGCAAACTCTTGAATCATTTCAATTTGAAAATAAAACACATTTTTTTACTCGGCGTCATCTACAATAAAAAGAAGTCCTTGGTTCACCAAGATCTCAAGTACAAGGATTTTTTAACATTCTCCTAAATGTCTTGCTGACACCCTACACAATCTCAGAAACACATCTATCAAAAAAATTAGTTCACAAATCTTTAATAATTACCGCCATCTTTCGTGATGCTTCGTATTAAAAATGGCAAATGTTTAACATCTCTAACATTAGAGCGATTAGAAGACAACCTTTTTTTTTCTTTTGTAATCAGGGGATCATATTTAAAGAAAAAAGTATAATGTTTGAGGCACCAAATTTTGTGTTTGCCAATCAGAAATGGCTGCTTTAAACACACAAAAATGTCTGCGTAAGATCCATCATTCTAATCGCCACTTATTAACAAAATTTTAATCAGTTATCTTCTATAAAAAATGTTGAATTTTTTTTTCATAGGTTAAAATGGCACAGGTAGAATTGAGCTACAACTTGATGTTATTAGGGAAAACCGGAGCTGGAAAAAGCTCCACAGGAAATACATTGCTGGATCGAAAATGCTTTACAAGTTCAATATCTTTTAATTCGAGTGAAGATGTTGCAAAAAAGCACTGCAAAGCCTTTAAGAAGTACACATTATGTGTTGTAGACACACCTGGAGTCCATGACACTCACAAGCCAACTGGAGAAATAGTAAAAAACTTGCACGACGCAATGGGCCTTATCCCCGAAGGATTCAACGCCTTGATATTTGTAATCAAACTGGGCGAAAGATGCACAGAGGAGCTGCTTGAAACAATTAAGGTCATAAAAGCTTTATTTGGGGACACTAATTTCAGTGACGTCTGCATCGTCGCTTTAACGAATGGTGAAGATGCTGAAAAGTATAATGTGAATAACCAAAACATTCAAGAGTGGTTAAGGAGACCAGAAAACGTGAGGCCGGGCTCTGACCTTGAGACGTTGTTGCGAGAATGTGGCTATAGAGCCGTCTTATTTTACAACAATACACCGGATAAACGCGAGGAGAGTGTCGAAAAACTTATAACATGTCTTCCCCAACAGGCTCCTCGTTACACAAACGAACATTTTCAAAAGTGTGCCGATGAGAGGGACGCCTATATGACCAGTTGGGGCTTTCCCGGACAAAGAGCTAACATTCAGACCCAACTCAGTCTTCTTACCGCGACAATTGAGGACACTTTGAAATACGATATGACTAATGTTGAACCTGCTTTGTCAAAAATTAATGATCTTAAAAAATTGTTGGAGACTGAATCCAAAGGCACAGACTCATTGGAGGACCTTAAAATCCAAGTCACTAATATAGAATCTGAAATGAGTAACCTCCCAGAAGATGCCGATCAAAGAATTGAAGTAATAAAGAACGTAGAACAGAAGGTCAATGGAATGAAAAATGCTGGTCTATTTTCAAGTGCGTTTGCTGTCTTATCAGGGTGTGGCACAGCTATTAACGTTGGCTTAGCTGCAACCAGAATAGTATCTGGAATACCCGTCTTTGGAATAGGTATTGCATTGGGCATGGTAGTTGTGGGTTCTACAGCATTTGCTATTTACGCACTGGTCAAGGCCTATAAGTCAACTAAAAGCAAAAAAGAAGATAAGGAAAAGCTCCTTTAGAAACACCAATAGGCAATCCAAATAAATTTATTGGTTTCGATGTTTTGTTTATGATAATTTAACAGCGAATGTGTCCAAATTTTTATATTATTATATTTCTCATCTTATTATTATCCTCATCTTATGTTTATTTTTTCCGGAAGGCATCGCAAAAAAAGGGGGTGGGGGTGGGGAAGTGATTGAGATAAGCCACAAACTTGCAAGACGACTGAAGGTTACTGCTGTGAATTTTTAAGATGCCCTTAACACATTCGATCTATGACGGCGGCGTGGTCTTCTTCTTGCCTTGAAACCGAAGAACCTGCAATTTTAAGCTTGTTATGCAAGTTTTTTGACTGGCATTCTGACCATTTGGTCAGATCGAATAATTGGCTGTTGAGCCATACCCTTGCGGATTGGGATATCACCTACAATTTGTTTTATTTCCTTATTAATAGCATGATCCCTTCTCTTTTTACCAGCTGCTCACCTTAATAATCTCATCTTGCAGATAAAAGTTTTTATTTCAAGACTTTCATTGGAGCTCAGTTCTGACACTAGCAAGTAAGGGTTTGAATATAGATTGCATTAAATAGCTTGGCTTTGGCCTCCGACTGTATTCTTCTTTGACTTAATTGTATAGACTTATTGGTAGCTGAACGTATTTCCCCTCTGCACTCTAACTTAAAGTTGGAGGTGATTATGGAACATAACAGCTGTGTATACCGCTTAATTTTGAATGCATGAAACATATTTTTTTTATTATTTTACATTTATATGTTTCATATTTCTAGCAACAAAAATAAAGTATCACTGTTCTCAAAGAATTCATGTTTGTTGTCTCATCAACTATGGATATCAATGGCGATCAAAAAAAAAAAAAAAAAAAAAANTGTCACACAATTAAAATAGGCGAATGTATAACGTGTGTCACACAATTAAAATAGGCGAATGTATAACGTGTGTCACACAATTAAAATAGGCGAATGTATAACGTGTGTCACACAATTAAAATAGGCGAATGTATAACGTGTGTCACACAATTAAAATAGGCGAATGTATAACGTGTGTCACACAATTAAAATAGGCGAATGTATAACGTGTGTCACACAATTAAAATAGGCGAATGTATAACGTGTGTCACACAATTAAAATAGGCGAATGTATAACGTGTGTCACACAATTAAAATAGGCGAATGTATAACGTGTGTCACACAATTAAAATAGGCGAATGTATAACGTGTGTCACACAATTAAAATAGGCGAATGTATAACGTGTGTCACACAATTAAAATAGGCGAATGTATAACGTGTGTCACACAATTAAAATAGGCGAATGTATAACGTGTGTCACACAATTAAAATAGGCGAATGTATAACGTGTGTCACACAATTAAAATAGGCGAATGTATAACGTGTGTCACACAATTAAAATAGGCGAATGTATAACGTGTGTCACACAATTAAAATAGGCGAATGTATAACGTGTGTCACACAATTAAAATAGGCGAATGTATAACGTGTGTCACACAATTAAAATAGGCGAATGTATAACGTGTGTCACACAATTAAAATAGGCGAATGTATAACGTGTGTCACACAATTAAAATAGGCGAATGTATAACGTGTGTCACACAATTAAAATAGGCGAATGTATAACGTGTGTCACACAATTAAAATAGGCGAATGTATAACGTGTGTCACACAATTAAAATAGGCGAATGTATAACGTGTGTCACACAATTAAAATAGGCGAATGTATAACGTGTGTCACACAATTAAAATAGGCGAATGTATAACGTGTGTCACACAATTAAAATAGGCGAATGTATAACGTGTGTCACACAATTAAAATAGGCGAATGTATAACGTGTGTCACACAATTAAAATAGGCGAATGTATAACGTGTGTCACACAATTAAAATAGGCGAATGTATAACGTGTGTCACACAATTAAAATAGGCGAATGTATAACGTGTGTCACACAATTAAAATAGGCGAATGTATAACGTGTGTCACACAATTAAAATAGGCGAATGTATAACGTGTGTCACACAATTAAAATAGGCGAATGTATAACGTGTGTCACACAATTAAAATAGGCGAATGTATAACGTGTGTCACACAATTAAAATAGGCGAATGTATAACGTGTGTCACACAATTAAAATAGGCGAATGTATAACGTGTGTCACACAATTAAAATAGGCGAATGTATAACGTGTGTCACACAATTAAAATAGGCGAATGTATAACGTGTGTCACACAATTAAAGAACTCAAATTCCGACCGCATCAAGCTTGAAAACCTTTTTAAAATTGTTTTAAAATTATTAAATCATGGTACTCATATTTTTTCTCAGATATACTATTTTTAATGAAGAAAAACTTCAATCATAAAAATTAAAGTCTCAGATCTCAGAGTTTGATAACTTCATATAACATAAATAAGTAATTTGATCTGACCCTTCTCGTGTCTGAGAAGTGGTCCATGTCTTAACAAAATCAGTTCTTGTTTTTCTCCCCCCCCCCGGGAAAACTTATAAAGACATATGAGGTTCTAAACTACAAATGAAACAATTTTATTCACGAAAAGTACGCCAGCTGTTAGCTATAGAAGATGCAGTATTATGTAAATTACAAAAGTGTTCTGTTATGGCACACAACCACTCCCGTTACCCTCAGACTACGACTAATTTTTTCTATAGTTTATGTTATCATTAAATCCCAGACATCCGCATGACAAGTTATGTCCTTTTGATTTCTTCTTGAAGATCAAAAAATTTTTAAAGTAATGTTCTTGAGACCACTGGGCAATGTGAGAAAATGCATTTAAAAACGTCATAGTAATGCTAGTAATTAAGACGCATTTTAGCAAATGTCTCATACAATAAATCTAACTAAGCAAGTGAGGATAAAAGGCAAAGGAAGTTGAGAATACGGGAACATAGAGCAGAAAAAAAGTGAAGTCGGGGGTGTATAGCTGTGGGGAAAAAATGAGACAGAGGAACATAGCATAGAAAAAAAGAGATGGTACCCTTAAAGCAGAATAAAAGACATTCGAGGGAGATAGGTGCACATGGAGTGCATCAGAAATATGAGACGGGAGCGTGAAGACTACCAAAAAAAAAGTGAGAACAGTGGAAGAAGTGTCAAACAGAATACCGAAAAAACTATTAGAGGTATAGAAATAGTGACTTTGGTTTGTACCGTATTAAGTCAACGTAAGTAAATATCCGGGTAAACTTTGCACACAATACAGCAGTTTAAAAATATTTTAAAAAATGACGTGTTATATATTATGATACATTGTATAATATATAAAAGGGACACTTTTTGCATTGTAGATTTGCTATTTTGCTCCGCATACATTTCCACGTACATTGATGGATCTTGACAAAACTTTGTAAATATATCCCAGATTATCCAGAATTAAAACACTGACGGATTTTAACTTTTTATTAAATTCCGTTTGTGGCCGAGGGCCTTAAAATCGCCCCCCCCCCCTTTTTATTTTAGCTATGTAAATAAATTACCAACAAATAATCTTACATTAATAAATGGATCTTGACCAAAATGAGAACACATAACCATGATTTTTAGATTCCATATTTAAATACTGAAGGGTAATGAACTCATAATATACCTTTTTTTGCATTTTTACTTATTTAAGCATTACACCTTTTCTTTAAATAGATTTTAGGACATCAGAGTGGTGTAAACATGCTCAAATAGCATGGACACAAGCACTATAAAAGTACTAAATCACAGTGGCGTAGCTAGGGTGCGTGTCACCAAGTGCGATACACTCACCCCGAATTCCACGATGGATTTCGTCTTGTTAAAATAAGTCCAAAGTATAACAATGACAAGAACAAAAACAATTAAATAAAATTATGTATTTAAGTACTGTAGCACCGTTGAGTTATAGTTAATTTTACATTAAATTTACTTTATTAAAAATGTCTCTTTCCCAGTCATCAGTTAAAGATGCAAACGTGTCAATCAGTTGACTAGGACCCTTCCCTGTCTCGCTTTCAATTGATAGAACCAAATTAGAAATCCTTGGCTCTCCCTTGGTGGGTCTTACATAGTCCTTGATAAGCCTTACATTTGGAAAGCTCCGCTCAAATGAAGCCACAAACACAAAGCAATTAGTTCAAATCATCAAATAATGACCACTCCATATCTTTGTGAAATTCAATATCAGCTGCCTTTAAGTGTCTTCTAAGCCTTGGCATTTCTTTAAAACTCATCCTCTAATAACTCATGATAGAAAGAGTTTAATTTTGGAACGGACAACAATAACTCTACTTCATTTGCTGATAGTAGTCTCTTGGGTTTGAACAGCCCCAGACATATCTGTTACTTTCTTGATCGCCGATGAAGTGACCAGGAATTCAGAATAAACCCAATCAATGCACTCCAACATCTCCCTAGTGTTTTATTCTCGCAGAGAGAGTCCAGCATCTACGATTTTTCTCCTGCCATTCTTAAACCTTATTCTTCTCTCTACAGAAATACCATATTGATCTTATATTAAAATTGCCTTTTGAATAGCATGTTCCAATAAATAACAGCGCTTCTCGGGCAGAATCAATATTAAGACATTTAGGTTATGTAACAACTTTGTCAACAGTAAGACCTTTAGTCTGCAGATTCCGCTCGTAGGATTAACTGCCTCTAGTAGATTAGCTCAAAGAAAAAGGTAGCAGAGAAACGTGAAATCACAGACAGCAAGTAAAAGTCAAAGTGCTGTATGAAAATCGTGTTCAAATGTTAAGAGGCGGTGCTAGTGACGAACCGGCAAAGATATTAATGTTTCAGAATATTTTGATATCCTATAAATGGGTAAAAAATCATTTTTAATGCCTTTTTTTTTTACCTGTTCGAGTCATGGTATCAAAGGAAAGCTTTACATCTCATAATTTAGATACATATATGTTTCTATCACTTTCGAAATTTACCGAACACTTCAGTGGCGTAGAATCATGGTCAAAACTGTGTTTTTCTGACTTAATTATAGGGTCACCTTATTTCTGACGCATTAACCTCGAACTTTGAACACATCATGCATTTGGATTAGTAACATGTGTAGAAGATAAACGTGTGGATGGTTATGCTTTTTTATGAAATTCGTTTACATCCAGCAATGTGCACCCTCTAAAAATGCAATTTTCAATTTTGCGTCACCCCGTATGATGATGTCACCCGGTGCGGTCAGCAACCTCCCCACCCCCCCCCCCCCCCCCCCGCTACCCTTAGCTAAGCCACTGCTCAATCATGATCATGATCATCTTAAATTTCAAAAGACCTAGGCAACATTATAAGTTCTATGCAATTTGATGAATCTTGATCTAGTTTTGTATCAATGCCATTCAAAGTCCGTATGAAAATATCATTAGATTTAAAATAAATAATATACAAAACATTCAGGGCCGGTCTAGAATTTTCCACAAAATTATTAATTGAAAAAATTAAATTGATCAATGGCATTTTTGAACCGATTAAAATGAAACATTTTTTAAAATTTTAGCTCTATTATTTATCTTATGGATTTTTATAGGGCCCTCTGTCTCATGCATAGTTAAAAGGTTCATTCATAAAGTGGGCCCTTATCGGGGCCCCTATTTTAAATGAAATTAAAAGTGATTATAGCGATGATATTTAGTTGGAAATGCTCTCATGGTGGGTGTTCAAGCTACGCTCCTGGATAAAATTAAAAAAGCACAGAATAATGCGGCTCGCATTGTTCTTCGTACACACAAATTCGACCATGCTAAAACACTTCTGAGAGAGCTGCACTGGCTACCGGTCCGCGCTCGCATTGAGTACAAAATGCAACTCTGTGCTACTGCTGCTTGCATGACCTGGC